AAATACTAATATATTTCCTCTCAAATCAGACCGCTTGTAATAGAAAATCCGTTGCACTAATCAAAGTCCCCTTAGCTGTAAACAATAAATGCCTAATTTTCTAAATAATAGACCCAAAGTCCAACATGGGTCGAATTACTGTCCAGATTCAATGAACCTAAGTTGGTTCAACCGGAACTTCCACTTTTTTTGACTTTTTCATCGCACCTTAAGGCCTTAAGGGCGTAGACCTGTTAGCGTTTCCATCGAGGCATCTGGTTTTGGTTCAATTCCCAAATCCTATCGACGAGTCAAAATGTGCGCTGCTCCTAAATGTGTCCAGGTTCAATGTACCTTTTTTGTACCATTCTTAATACAAACCATGATCCATACATATATGATAATGCACAGCATCATCACCCGTTTATCATTTAACCCATGCCCATGCTCCTTTTTTCCTTTTTCTTTTTTTTTATTTTATTTGTTACCCCTACACCCTTACTAATTTAATTTGACTTTTGATTTTCCAAACAAAAAAAATTTAGGTAAAAGTTTAATATAAAAGAAAAGTGTGTATTAATTTCAACTATCAAAATAAATTAATTTTAAAATTTAAAATTTATTATTTTATTAAATTAAAATTAAAATTAAAAATTTATCTTAATAAATATGAATATTTAAATTTATGTATCAATTTTTAATATGGTAAATTTTAAATTTTTAAATATAAATTAAAATTTTAATTTTTTTTAAAGGGATGATTAATGTCACACTAACATCTTAATATAATATGTAAATAATAATTACATTATTTTTATTAAATAAAATTATTAAATAAAAATTATATATTATAAGAAAAAAAATTAATCGATCGATGTAAATCTTGCATTCTTTATTAATATTTTAGGTGTACGGAAATGAGGTACGAGGATCCTACGAGACTCGAAATTACAACTGATGGGACATAATCCCCACTAGCCAATGATTTTAACTATAATGTCGGAGTATGAGGATCTTTTATTAATAAAACTTTTGATTTTTTTTTTAAATAAATCATCCATGAGTGTGGGTTGGAATGGAATGAGAAATAAAAAAAGACATAAAAAAATAAAAGAAAACATAATAAAAGCAAATATAAGGTTTTATTCCATATTATTGAGAAATAACATTTTTCCCACTAATAACAGTGAATTGGATAAGTGGAAACCCAAAACTGTATATCTAACAACAATCTGGATTTCCAGGAATACACAAGCAAAAACCGCCATTACAAACGCGGATGTTTCCTGTGCATTTACGATTACAATCATCTGGACCGGAGCACCGTGGAGGTGGCTTTTGCTTGAATGGTGGCGATTTTGCTAGTGGCAATACTACCTCTGTAGCTACCCTGGCGTCAACTATTGATACATTTTCAATAAGCAAACCTACAAATAAAACTTGATCAGAAATGTTACGCATTCAAATAAGTATAAGTGATTAGTATTTATCTGTTTTATTTCTTAAAATTTAGAAAGAAAATTATTCTAAAACTATATAATTTTAATAAAGTATTACAGGAAATGACAAAAAATACTCTAATTCATATTTTAAAAATAAGGTATTTTAGTATTTTTCAATAAGAATTTATTGAAACGACATAATTTTCGAATAATTTTCGAATAATTTTCCTCTTAATTTTTATGAGATAAGACGGATAAACACTATTTTCTAAATATAATAACTTATAAAACTATTGAGTAAGAAGTTTCAAGATAAATAAAATAAGAAATTTATGTAACATAATTTGGATTGTATAGTAAAGTATAATTTCTCTTATGAATTTATTAAAATAACTTTAATGAAATAATATAAGAAATAATTTTTCTAGGTATTTTAATAAATTTATAAAACAAACTGTATTTTTAATATATAGTTTTTTCTATAAAATACTTTTTTGATAAAATAAAATAACTATGTATATGTAAAGAAAAAAAATATAGTAAAAAGGGAAAGACTAACAAGATGCAAGCAGGATGAAGAAGAAAAATGTCATTTTAAATGGAGCTTCCATGTTGCCTCAATTCGTAATGTAACGAGATGAAGTGTATGCATCCCCTTGTCATTTTTTCTCAAGTATTTATAGGGTCTGAGAGTCAAAACGATATTTTCCCTCATTAAAAATATGATTGCATTGTCTGTAAATCATTCCTTTCTAGTATCTACTAAAGTTGGGAACAAATCTCATTTAG